TCCAAGAAAACAAGGAAGAGGCTGTATTGGAAAAGGCGGTGATAGAGGTCGAAGCTGTGATAGCCATATTTCCTCAGAAATCGATAGAGCTTCATTGGTGGGGCATGGAGAGAAACCAAAGATTGCGACAATGGGACGAGCTCCAAGTGGCCAAGTCAGAAAGATGGAGGGAGATCCTGACAGTGAAAGGAATTCAGACCAGCGATCGAATGACAAAGTCTACATTCCAACGTCTGCTGCCGCGTTTCTATCATAAGGAAATGAAGATCCTTCAACATCCCTTCAATCAGCAAGCTCCGGTGGCTAAGACATCACGTGAGATGTGCACATATGCGGAACTCTACTTCAGCGACATTTTAACTTCAAGACGAAGTGCCACATAACTGGATTCGGGTCGGGCTCATCTGTCGGATCTGTGGGAACTGGTGGACGTTAGGCTGCCTCAGACAGGTCGGTTGGACCTTGACAGACCAATTACAGATGTAGAAGCTAATCAGGCAGTCAAGGCCATGGCAAAGGGAAAGGCCCCTGGGTTAGATGGCATAACAGTAGAATTCTATGCAATGGTCTGGCCAGAAGTAAAGGAGACCCTGTTGGAAATGTATAACAGCGTGCTTACAGGGGGCAGATTGTCGTCAAGTATGTGTCACGGTGTGATCACAATGCTGTATAAGAAAGGCGAAAAAGACGAAATCAGGAATTGGAGACCCATCTCTAAGCTGAATGTCTCCTACAAAATCCTAGTTAAGACGCTAGCTAGAAGGTTGGCTAAATATCTGCCTGATTTGGTAGGTTCGGACCAAGCTGCCTTTGTGAAAGGTCGTTCGATTTTCGATAATATCGTCACGATGATAGAAGCATTGGAGATTGTGGAGAAAGAGGAACGCCCCCTCTCAGTCTTACTGCTCGACTTAGAGAAGGCATATAATAGGGTCAACTGGAGTTTTGTGTTGACCACACTGCGTCATATGGGATTTGGGGAGAATTTTTGTAGATGGGTAGTGGTATTATATACCCACTCCACGGCAGCAGTTATGGTCAACGGCTTTCTGTCGGACTCCTTTTGACTGTGTAGATCCTTGCGTCAAGGATGCCCGTTGGCACCCCTGCTATTCGTGCTGCAACTTGAAGTGATCACATCGAATATCAGGCACCGGCCGGAAAGAGTGGGACTGGCTCTAAGGAAAGGAGTATGCAAAGTCAAAGCGTTAGCAGACGATCTTTTTGCAGTCTGCAAAAATGATGTAGATGCTCTAGATGGTATGAAACAACTATTGGACGAATATTCTCTGTTCTCTGAGGCAGCGGTAAATTGGCGTAAGTCGGTATATTTTTTACCGCACTTTATGTCCATGGAGGCTGATTGGGGTATGAAGCGAATCAAGAAAGGGGAAGCTGAACGTTTTCTAGGAGTGATGGTAGCTTTGGACTCTTGTCAGGAAACTCAAGAGGAAATCTTGCAAAACAGGATAGTATCGAATATGAAGTCTTGGAACTCTGCTCCCCATCTCTCTCTCTTTGGACGCGCAATGGTGGTTAATACCTCGCTGATGTCCTTACTCAGTTTCGTTGGCACAATTCGCTTACTGAGCCCCTCCCTTGTTGCGCAAACTAGAAGACTTTCAGCAAAATTCATATGGAAACCTAGAGCAGAGGACAAGGAAGGGTTCATTTCGAAAGTGGCTTGGGAACTCATTTCCCAGCCACGAGTGGAGGGAGGTCTCGGTATCAGTGACCCGCTCAGACGCAATTATTTTCTATTAGCTAGCTGGATCATTAAAGCAGTCAACTGTGAGGGAACAGCGCATTGGATACAGATGGGTGAACACATCCTGGCCAGGGAATGGGAACTTGAGCGAGAGGAGGATGTATGGTTGTGCCTTCAACTGGAAGTCTGGAATCCTTCCTCAACAGGAAAATTCGGTCGAGATTTTAAGCTGACGTCATCAAGGCATGGAGAAAAGTCAAGCCAAACATGTGGCTCAACCCAGTGACAGCGGAGGAGGTATTGAGCCAGTCGCTCTTCGACAATCCCAACATCATGGACCCAAGCGGTAACCGGTTTAAGGCGAATAAAGCTCCAGGCTCGTTTGGAGATGGATGGATAAGGAAGGGTATTCTTCGTATCCGGGACCTGTGGGATTCTTTCACGGGCCAATGGCACTCAGAGGATTCACTTCGCAGGAAGCTGGGGGGCCACCACCATGTGGAGGAAAAGAGAACAGCATTGATTCAGGCGATTCCCCAGGAATGGAAACTCCTGCTACAGCCGGAGGTGGTGGACCCGCCAGGAACCTGGTATATTACCAGGAACCCACAGTCACAGTTTGAATACTGGAAGTTGGAATCATATGCAGAGGATGGTAACCAGGTATTCCAACAGTGGGAGAGACAGCCCGGTACTCAGCGCCTGAAGCTAAATGAGGAAGCCCCCTCGAACCTTTGGCAGTTGGCATTGAAACAAGTGAGAGTTCAAGAGCTCTGGGAAAAGGAGGATCAGCATATAGCAATATCACAACTGGATCAAGCTGCATGGGGCTGGCGAGGTCTGGGCAAAGAGGGCTCTACCTTATTGATGGATCAAATGCAATCAACATCGGATATCCTATTTCCGACCAGACGCCCGGTGGTAGTGGCTGCAGAGAGATGGGAGAACTTAATAACGGGCACGGGAGGTAATGTGTTATCAGCTATGAAACGTCTGTGGGGACAGCTAAAGATTCTACCTTCGCAGAGGCATGCTGCCATATTGTGGCTGCTATCGTTAATGGTTACCCCCTCTGCAGTCTGGCTGGCAGGAAAAGGAATGGAAGTGCAGTTAGCCTGCAAATGCTGCACATGGCCTTTTGAATCCACTTCCCATTTGTGGTGGGATTGCCCAGCCTCCAGAAGGATCTGGGTGTGGTGGGCCATGCACCGGACCGACTTCTCAGAATGGGACTGGTCATGGGATCGTGACTGGGCTTTATTGGGAATCTTGCCTGAGAATGTGCAATCAACAGAAGGATGTGGATACGTGGCCCAAGCATGCAGAGCAATCATTTGCTCAGTTATCTGGGACAACAGGAACAAAGCAGTGTTCCAAGGGAAAGGTACTGCAGATACCGAGATCAAGGCGTGCGTCTGTGCGAGACTGAGACAATACATTAAGGCGGACTGGTGCACTAGGAATAGTAGTGGAACGACGGCTAGGAAAGGCTATTTGTGGTTTCTTAGGACTTGGGGTCGGGGCACGACCTCCAACTGGTTGGTCACAGTGAATTCTGACAGCAAGTTGGAGTTCTGCTCGTGGTTGAAGCAGTAAGTATCAACTAAGTACCAGGGCACTCGGTTATAAGTAGCCGCAGGAGGCAGGCAGCAAAAGGCTGTGTTTTTATACCTTTTTGGGTTGTTTTCTGAATAATAGTATTTCTGTTGTTCTTGAGTCAGTAGGGTGTTTGTTTGTTAAAATGTTGGTTATTCTTCAGTTTTTTAAGGCTTTGTGGATGGAGTGTCATTTTGGCGGGGGTGGTTGCCCTGCAATACAGGTCGTATTAGACCTGGTATATATCTGTGCTGGTCCTTTTGTGGAATGTCAGTTTCACTTGTTTTTTCTAGAATTGATAGGATGGTTAGAATTATGAAGAGCAGAGAGCTCGACAGATGATACAGTACAGCTAGCGTAGACTAAGCTGAATACTGAATTGGCTAAACCGAAGCTGGGCTACGAGCCTGGTGCTCTGTCACACCGGGTTGTTTGTTGAGGATTCCCGGCCTCAAAGTTCTTTTCAGTGCTTTGATAATGGATCCTCTACCTTTTTCCCGAAAAAAAAATAAAAATAAATAATTTTTTCAAGACCTGTGAGGACCCCGGCCTCTGGGTGTTTTCGAGCTTTAATGATTAGCGTTGGGCACTGAGCCCTATTTCAAAAAAAATAGAAATAAAAATAAAATTAAAAAAATTGTGCAGGATTCGAACTCATGCCCTTGTTCATTGTCAACAATCTATACTAATCAGGGGTCAAGTCCCACTAGCAGCGTTGAGCTACCTCAACGCCCCAGGCGTGCAGTTCAGGAAACTCAACACCATTTCTGCACATCTCCACAAAAGCGTCCAGATTCAGGCGTTGAGATAGCTCAACGCTGCTATTGGGACTTGGCCCCAGGGAGCCACATGGGCGGGAGGCCACACGGGCTGAGTTTTTTGGCATACTGCCGGTCGTCCGTCCATTATGGAAGCCGTTTATTATGGAGGTAGCGCACAAGGGTTGAGTTTTTTTTTTTTTTTTTACAAACGAAATTATGGAGCTATATTCTTCTCACTACGCCGAATCGTAGTCATACGTACCAGCCAGAACCGTGTTCACGAAAAAAAAAAACAATTAAGGAGCTTCCCCCTTCTGCCTCCTCGCTGGCAGTTTTCGAGCATAAAAATTCAGACCCCCCCACGTGTGCCACATGGGCACGTGCTCAGTGTTTGGAACTTTTTCCCTTCCGCTTCCCGCTTCAGGGCCTCGCCACACCACTCTCGAAATGTGAAAAGGACAAAAATGTGGCGGGTGCATCTGGCCATGTTTTAGGGCGAAGTTCATTCTCATGTTGCACATTTCGATCGTTGCCAATCGGCACAAGGCGGAAGGCGCCCCCCCCCCCCCCCCCCCGCCTCTCTACTGCGGCAGGGCCTCGCCTCTCCGCTTACCCAATGCGAAGAAGACAATCCTAAATCCTGTGTATCTCTCCACGTTGTGGCCGATTGTGCATTCTCCATTTTGCACGTTTGATGCACAATTGATTTGATGAGCAGGGCAGAGAGCATTGGGCCTCTCGCTCCACCACTCTCGAAATGTGCACAGTGAGAGCGAATCTACTGCTAGAACATAAATAGATACACACCATGATTTTTGTCTTTTATGCATGTCCAGTGTAGTTGAGCGAGGGGCCATTCTCGCACTTCTGATGAGCAGGGCCGGACGGCCCCGTATCTCGGACTCGCTGCGCGACGCGCCGGTTGCGGAGCGGAGTGCATATATATTGTGCGCCACGCGCGGTTAGCTGACCAGTCCAGGAAAGTAACGTAGGCGGGGGCGGGGAATCCGACCTCGACGTCGGAAACGAGCGGAATTTCGGGGGGATTTGGATTTAGGGGATCTGTTTACAGCCGCCCGCCAATCAAAGCCACCATCTTGGCGCTCTCCAGCGGCAGCACGCGGGGCGGTGTTCGACAACGAAGAGTGAGAACGGGGGCAAGCGGACAGCTATGGCGGCGACGGTAGACGACCTGCTGAGGCTGGAGATGCCGCCGGAGGAGAAGCGCATCATCGCGGAGTACATTTGGGTAGGAGGGAGCGGTCTTGACCTGAGGAGCAAAGCCCGCACTCTGCCCGGCCCCGTGAAGTCGGTGTCTGAGCTCCCCAAGTGGAACTACGATGGCTCCAGCACGGGCCAGGCWCCGGGCGAGGACAGCGAGGTCATCCTCTATCCCCAAGCCATCTTCAGAGACCCCTTCCGTGGCGGGGACAACATCCTGGTGATGTGCGACTGCTACACTCCTCAGGGAGAACCCATTCCCACCAACACCCGCTACGCTGCCAACAAGCTGTTCGAGCAGGCGCCGGACACCGAGCTCTGGTTCTGTCTCTTATACACATCTAGATGTGTATAAGAGACAGGTCCAGCACGGGGCAGGCCCCGGGCGAGGACAGCGAGGTCATCCTGTACCCGCAAGCCATCTTCAGGGACCCTTTCCGAGGGGGGGACAACATC